TTAAAAAACTTTGTTTGAATTTATTTGACTTTCATTTGATTCAATTAGATTTGTAGAATGCATTTCACTTTCATCTGATTTAAAAAGCTTTATTTGAATGTGTTTAACTTTCATTTGATTTAATAAGTTTGTCAAATTCATTTGACTTTCATTTGATTCAAAAGCTTTATTTCAATGTGTTTAACTTTCCTTTGTTTCAATTAACTTTGAAGAATGCATTTGACTTTCACTTGATTCAAAAAGCTTCCTTTGAATGTGTTTTACTTTCATTTGGTTTAAAAAGCTTTGCTTGACTGTGTTTCACTTTAATTAGATTCAATTTCCTTTTTAGAATGCATTTCACTTTTATTTAATTCAAATAGCTTTGTTTGAATGTGTTTGACTTTCATTTGATTTAAAAAGCTTTGCTTCAATGTGTTTGACTTTAATTTGATTCAATTTCCTTTGTAGAATGTATTTCACTTTCATTTGATTCAAATAGCTTTGTTTGAATGTGTTTGACTTTCATTTGACCTAAAAAGCTTTGTTTGAATGAGTTTAACTTTCATTTGATTCAATTAGCATTGTTGAATGCATATGACTTTCGTTTGATTCAAAAAGCTTTGTTTGAATGCGTTGACTTTCATTTGATTCAATTTGCTTTGTAGAATGCATTTAACTTTCAATTAATTAAAAATAGCATTGTTAGAATGTGTTTGTCTTTCATTTGATTGTATTAGCTTTGTAGAATGCATTTCACTTTCATTTGATTTAAATAGCTTTGTTTGAATGTGTTTGACTCACATTTGATTTAAAAAGCTTTGTTTGAGTGTGTTTAACTTTCATTTGATTCAATTAGCATTGTTAAATGCATTGGACATTCATTTGATTCAAAAAGCTTTGTTTAAATATGTTTGACTTTCATTTGATTCAATTAGCGTTGTATAATGCAATTCACTTTCGTTTGAGTCAAATAGCGTTGATTGAATGTGTTTGACTTTCAATTGATTTAAAATGCTTTGTTTGAATGTGTTTGACTTTCATTTGATTATATTAGCATTGTTGAAAGCATTTGACTTTCATTTGATTCAAAAAGCTTTGTTTGAATGTGTTTGACTTTCATTTAATTCAGTTAGCTTTGTAGAATGCATTTCACTTTCATTTGATTCAAATAGGTTTCTGTTAATGTTTTTGATCTTCATTTGATTTAAAAAGCTTTTTTAAAATGTATTTGACTTTTATTTGATTCAATTAGCATTGTTGAATGCATTTGCCTTTCATTTGATTCTATTAGCTTTGAAGAATGCATTTGTTTTTCATTTGATTAAAAAGAGCTTTGTTTGAATGTGTTTGACTTTCTTTAGATTCAATTTGCATTGGTGAATGCTTATAACTTTTGTTTGATTCAAAAAGCTTTGTTTGAATGTGTTTGACTTTCATTTGATTATATTAGCTTTGTTGAATGCATATAACTTTCGTTAGATTCAAAAAGCTTTGTTTGAATGTGTTTGACTTTCATTTGATTCAATTTTCTTTGAAGCATGCATTTAACTTTCATTTAATTAAAATAGCGTTGTTAGAATATGTTTTACTTTCATTTGATTCAATTAGATATGTAGACTGCATTTTAATTTCATTTCAGTGAAATAGCTTTTTTTAAATGTGTTTGATTTTTATTTGATTTAAAAAACTTTGTTTGAATTTATTTGACTTTCATTTGATTCAATTAGATTTGTAGAATGCATTTCACTTTCATTTGATCTATATAGCTTTGTTTGAATGTGTTTGACTCACATTTGATTTAAAAAGCTTTGTTTGAATGTGTTAAACTTTCATTTGATTCAATTAGCATTATTGAATGCATTTGACTTTCATTTGATTCAAAAAATTTTGTTTGAATATGTTTAACTTTCATTTGATTCAATTAGCCTTGTAGAATGCAATTCACTTTCATTTGAGTCACATAACTTTGATTAAAATGTGTTTGACTTTCATTTAATTCAATTACCTTTGTAGTATGCATTTCCTTTTCATTTGATTCAAATAAAAAGTGTTTTAATGTGTTTGACCTTCATTTGATTTAAAATGCATTTTTTAAATGTATTTGACTTTCATTTGATTCAATTAACATTGTTGAATGCATTAGCCTTTCGTTTGATTCTATTAGCTTTGAAAAAAGAATTTGTTTTTCATTTGATTAAAAAAGATTTGTTTGAATGTGTTTGACTTTCTTTTGATTTTATTATCATTGTTGAATGCATATAACTTTCGTTTGATTCAAAAAGCTTTGTTTGAATGTGTTTGACTTTCATTTGATTCAATTAGCATTGTTGAATGCATATAACTTTCATTTGGTTCAAAAAGCTTTGTTTGAATGTGTTTGACTTTCATTTGATTCAATTTGCTTTGAAAAATGCATTTAACTTTCTATTGATTAAAATAGCGTTGTTTGAATGTGTTTGACTTTCATTTGATTCAATTTGCTTTGTAGAATGCATTTCACTTTCATTTAATCTATATAGCTTTGTTTGAATGTGTTTGACTCACATTTGATTTAAAAAGCTTTGTTTGAATGTGTTAAACTTTCATTTGATTCAATTAGCATTGTTGAATGCATTTGACTTTCATTTGATTCAAAAAATTTTGTTTGAATGTGTAAGAAATTTTATTAATACCAAAAGAGGATGGAAAGCCCTCAAGAAACAACCCCTAGCCTAAGAGAAGCCACCTTCTAGGAAGGGTGCAACAAACAAAGGAGAGGGTGGGAAACTAGCCTCAAGTGGAAAGCACCTTCTAGGAAGGGTCTAGCACACTAGGACTAGCACAAGAGGAGTACAATCATAATCCCAAACTACAACGCACCCTAGGAGCAAGCAAACAACACAGGAATCAAAAATAGTAAACTAGCCATACTATCAGGAACAAGGCATGAGACAGAAACAACAGAAAACTAGACTGACTGTTTAAGCAGAAACATCCATCTAACTTGAGCTCTAGACTAGGAACTATTAATCAATTGCTGGCTTCTATCAATAACTTCCAATCTGATGACCTTGCATAATTTCTAAGGGTTAATCACAGCCTTTTCGCAATAGGAATGGTTCCTAGCAAGCCAGATGATGCAAATCATGACGAGTCCATTAGTCCAATCAAGCATGATCATCCTACAAGTCCAATTCACGAAGAAATCATTCTTGCTAAGTCATTTGAAGATCAAGTGTTAGATACTTTTTGTGCGCGTGGACCGTTTCTTGCTAACCAAGGGTTTACTTGTTTACATTCTGGTTATGAATGTTAATGGGCATCCTAGGCACGTTTTGAACAGCCTTAGGCATAGGAAAAGGCGTCCTTCAAGCAAGGAGAAACTTCATTGCAAGTCATAAACATTTAGCATGAAGAAAGGCATGAATCAAGGGGAGGTTACTCCACGTTTTTGCTGGTTCTTTATGGCTGTTTTTAAGCCTTTTTTTCAGCAGTTTTTAAGAGGTTAATTAAGGGTGATTAAAGCCTAAAATCAGTTAAGAAAATCTGTTTAGCTTAGGCGTGATTCTAGGCTAGGTTTTAGCTTTCATGTTTAGTTACAATAAACACACATTAAGCTTGTTTAATGCGTATAGTTTAGTACTAGTTTGTTTTCTTTATTTAAGCTTATGAAATATAAGTGTATGGCAGATTATGATATATGAATTAAGAAAGTTTTCTCCTTAAAAACTATTTATTCTTGTTGCTAAGATAAATCGTTTTGTTGCCAAGTTTAACTTGACGAATTTGAGTGGTTAAGTGAGTTTTCCTTCAATGCAAATTAAACAACTAGTGGGTTTAAGTGAGTAATCCTTGCCTACATATCTTGTTTGTTTAAGTGAGTAATCCTTACAAACTAACCCTTCTTTCCTCTATAAAACGTTCCTTAACCATTTCCAAAACAACCTACAAACCTTTACCCGTAATTTAACTTAAAACACCAACCTTTTTTTTTCATTCCACTTAAGTTTGATCCATTAATCTTGTATTAACTAAGACTTTCTATTAGTTTTTACATCATTTGGCGCGTCAAGTAGGGGAAATTTCTGTCCAAAATGGATCAAGCAAACCTAAATGAAACCATTGACCAAAGGAGACTTAGAATGATGGAGGAAAACCAACAAAGACTCTTGGAAACCAATGAGCATTTACATGGTAATATAATGGCTCTAATGGCTCGTTTGTTGACACAAGAACAAAGGGATGGGCGTCAAAACCCTCCTAGATATGATGACAAGAGTCTAAAGGTGGATGTAGATCTTTTTTATGGTACTCTTGACCCTGAGAAGTACTTGGAGTGGGAGCAATCACTTGAGAGGTACTTTGAGTTTAAAGACGTTGAGGAAGATGAACAAAAGTACAAGATTGCTAAGGTAAAGATAGCCAAGTATGCTAAAACTTGGTTGAAAGGAGTCCAAAGAAAACGAGAAAGCAATGGGAAAACTCGTATTTCTACATGGACCAAGCTTAGGAAGAAACTTAGGGGACGATTTGTTCCTTCTAATTACAAGCAATCCATGTATGTGAAATGGAAAACTTTGCAGCAAGGAGGGAGTAGTGTGGAGGAATACATTAAAGAATTTGAGAAACTTTCCATTGTGTGCGAAATAGTGGAAAATGAAGAACTCAAATTAGGGAGGTTTATGGCTGGTTTGGATAAGGACATTTATGAGAAAGTAGAAGTGCAACCCAATCTGACCTTTGATGAAGCTTGTAAGCTTTCGGTGAAATTTGACGATCAAAAGAAGAAGAAGAAACCTTCGAACCCTTTTGACCCAAAATTCAAACGCCCATTTAACCCACCAAAAGAAACCCCTTCCTTTCCAAATTCCACTACCAAAAAGAACCCTACCTCGTTTGATCTTTCACAAAAAGAAAAAGGAAAAGCCAAAACCGGAGACTTAAGTGACATTGTTTGTTTCAAATGTCACGGAAGAGGACACTACAAGAGAGATTGTCCTAATGCAAGAGCTTTAACCATACGAGAGCTTAAGAATATGATGGCACAACCTTTTGTCCTTGAAGAAGAGAAGGAGGACGAAAATGGTAGTGAAAATGTACCTTTAGAGTCTTATGATTCTAATGTGGAGGAGGAGCAAGTTGATGACTGTTTTCCCGAAAAAAATAGTCTATTAATGAGGAGAGCCCTCCAAATGCACGTGGAGGTTGAGAAAACCCCAATTCAAAGAGAAAATGTCTTCTTAACCAAATGCAAGGTTAATGAAGATGTGTGTGACTTGATTGTTGATAGTGGCAGTGAAGCTAATGTTGTGTCAAGTGATTTTGTTAAGAAACTTGACTTGAAGACTACTAGACATCCTACTCCTTACAAGTTGAGTTGGCTTGATATGAGCAAGAGTACGGGAGTTAGAAAACAATGTCTAGTAAAATTTCAGATTGGTTCGTATGTGGATGAAATTTTATGTGATGTCATTCCCATGGATGCTTGTCACATTTTGTTAGGGAGGCCATGGCAAAGTGACAAAAAATCAGTACATGATGGCCTATCAAACACCTACACCATTACTCACCAAGGCAGCAAGAAAGTGTTGCACCCCTTACCACCACAAAAAAGCCTTTCCCAAACACAATCCCCACCACCACAAAAAGAGCCCAAAAGAAAGGACATTTTGTTGCTTTCCTTAAAAGAATTCGAAAACTCTTTGGAGAAAGAAGATGAAGTGTTCTTATTGTTTTCTAAAGAGGAACACGAAGGTTTTGTCCAACAAAACCCTAGGCTAGCCGCATTGATCAAGGAGTATGAAGATGTTTTTCCTAATGAATTACCACAAGGGTTGCCTCCTATTCGTGGTATAGAACATCAAATAGATTTGATTCCGGGAGCCCCCCTTCCAAATAAACCCCCTTATAGATGCAATCCCATGGAAACTAAGGAATTACAAAGACAAATTGAGGAGTTGATGCAAATGGGTTACGTGAGAGAATCCATGAGTCCTTGTGCCGTTCCAGCTTTGTTAGTGCCAAAAAAGGATGGAACATGAAGGATGTGTATTGATAGTAGGGCGGTGAATAACATAACCATTAAGTATAGGTTTCCTATTCCTAGACTTGATGATATGTTATATGAGTTGAGTGGAGCTCAAGTGTTTTCCAAGATAGATTTGAGGAGTGGATATCACCAAATTAGAATGAGGGAAGGTGATGAATGGAAAAAAGCCTTTAAAACTAAGCATGGTTTGTATGAGTGGCTTGTTATGCCATTTGGATTAACAAATGCTCCAAGCACCTTCATGAGACTTATGAACGAAATGTTGAGGCCATTTTTGGGGAAGTTTGTAGTTGTTTACTTAGATGACATTCTCATCTATAGTAAAAATGAGGAGGAGCACTTGAAACACTTGGAAAAGATTTTCAAAACCTTGAGAGAGCAACAATTGTATGGGAAGTTGGAGAAGTGCCATTTTGTGCTAACATATATTGTTTTCCTTGGTTATATTGTTTCAGGTGAAGGAATTAAAGTTTATCCAAGCAAAGTGGAAGCCATTTCTTCATGGCCAATTCCAAAAACAGTCACGGAGGTTCGTTCATTTCATGGAATTACTTCGTTCTATAGGCGGTTTATTGAACATTTTAGCACCTTTATGGCTCCCATCACCGAATGTACAAAGAAGGGAAGTTTTCCATGGACTCCACAGGCTCAAAAGGCGTTTGAGTTGGTGAAAAAAAAAGATGTGTGAAGCGCCGGTTCTAGTCCTTCCAGATTTCATGAAACCATTTGAAGTTGAGTGTGATGCAAGTGGAAAAGGAATAGGGGCTGTCCTAATCAAAGAGAAGAATCCAATTGCGTATTTTAGTGAGAAATTGAGCCAAGGCAAATTGAATTACTCCACTTATGACAAAGAATTCTATGCCATGGTTCGAGCTTTGGATCATTGGTCACATTATTTGAGGCCACAACCTTTCATCTTACATTCGGATCATGAATCTTTAAGGTTCATTCATGGGCAAAAGAAGTTGAATGCAAGGCATGCTAAGTGGGTGGAATTCCTACAATCTTTCAACTTTGCAACCAAGTACAAGAAAGGCAAAACCAATATTGTGGCGGATGCATTATCAAGAAGGCATAATATTCTTGGAATCATGGAAACTAAAATTCTTGGTTTCGAGGTCATGAACGAATCATACAAAGATGATCTTGAACTCAAGGAAATCATGGAGTCTTGCAAAAATGGAGTCCACGGTTCATTTGTCATAGTAGATGGTTTCCTTTTCAAAGGGAACAAACTTTGTGTTCCTAAAGGTGCAATTCGAGAGTTGTTGATCAAGGAAGCTCATGGAGGAGGACTTGCTGGTCATATGGGTATACAAAAGACCCTAGAAATCTTACAAAGTCATTTTTATTGGCCAAAAATGTTAGCTAATGTGCACCAAGTTTTGGCTAGGTGTTCTATTTGTCAAAGAGCCAAAATGACGTTTTATAAGGGAGAGTATAAGCCTTTGCCCATTCCTGAAAGACCTTGAGAAGATTTGAGTATGGATTTCATAATGGCTTTGCCTAGAACAGCTCTTGGAAAAGATTCTATCATGGTGGTCGTTGATCGGTTTTCAAAGATGGCTCATTTCATAGCTTGTAAAAAGGTGGATGATGCGTTCAATGTGGCGCAACTTTTTTTTAAGGAAGTGGCTAGATTACATGGTTTGCCTAGAACCATAGTTTCGGATCGTGACACTAAGTTTGTGAGTCATTTTTTGAAGTCCTTGTGGAGGCTCGTGGGTACTAAGCTACTTTTCTCAACAAGCCATCATCCACAAACGGATGGTCAAACCGAAGTGGTGAACCGAATTCTTGGTTCTTTGCTTCGTGCCTTAGTGAATAAGGGAGGTAAAGATTGGGACTTGAAGTTAGCTCATGCAGAGTTTGCCTACAATAGAACTCCAAGCAAAACTACAAAGTATTCACCTTTTGAAGTTGTGTATGTTGTGAATCCTTATGTGCCGATTGATTACATTTCGCTTCCTAAAGATAAGTTCGTGCATGGGACAGCCAAGGAGCATATAGAATTCATTGTTGATGTCCATAAAGAAGTTAGGAAGAACATAGAAAAGGCAAATGAGTCATACAAGAAGCAAGCTAACAAAAACTTGAGAAATATGAAGAAGTTCGAAGTGGGTGATCTTGTGTGGATATTCTTGCGCAAAGAAAGGTTTCCTAAACAAAGGAAACACAAATTGATTCCTAGGGCAGAAGGACCTTTTCAAATCATGGAAAAGATCAATGATAATGCTTACAAAGTGGACCTTGGAGGGCAATTCGGAGTTTCATCAACTTTCAATGTGGGTGACTTGGGTCCTTATCTAGAAGATGATGAGTTGAGGGCAACTCCTTTCGATGCAGGGGAGGATGATGCAAATCATGACGAGTCCATTAGTCCAATCAAGCATGATCATCCTACAAGTCCAATTCACAAAGAAATCATTCTTGCTAAGTCATTTGAAGATCAAGTGTTAGATACTTTTTGTGCGCATGGACCGTTTCTTGCTAACCAAGGGTTTACTTGTTTACATTCTGGTTATGAATGTTAATGAGCATCCTAGGCACGTTTTGAACATCCTTAGGCATAGGAAAAGGCGTCCTTGAAGCAAGGAGAAACTTCATTGCAAGTCATAAACATTTAGCATGAAGAAAGGCATGAATCAAGGGGAGGTTACTCCACGTTTTTGCTGGTTCTTTATGGCTGTTTTTAAGCCTTTTTTCAGCAAATTTTAAGAGGTTAATTAAGGGTGATTAAAGCCTAAAATCAGTTAAGAAAATCTGTTTAGCTTAGGCGTGATTCTAGGCTAGGTTTTAGCTTTCATGTTTAGTTACAATAAACACACATTAAGCTTGTTTAATGCGTATAGTTTAGTACTAGTTTGTTTTCTATATTTAAGCTTATGAAATATAAGTGTATGGCAGATTATGATATATGAATTAAGAAAGTTTTCTCCTTAAAAAGTATTTATTCTTGTTGCTAAGATAAATCGTTTTGTTGCCAAGTTTAACTTGACGAATTTGAGTGGTTAAGTGAGTTTTCCTTCCATGCAAATTAAACAACTAGTGGGTTTAAGTGAGTAATCCTTGCCTACATATCTTGTTTGTTTAAGTGATTAATCCTTACAAACTAACCCTTCTTTCCTCTATAAAACGTTCCTTAACCATTTCCAAAACAACCTACAAACCTTTACCCATAATTTAACTTAAAACACCAACCTTTTTTTTTTCTTTCCACTTAAGTTTGATCCATTAATCTTGTATTAACTAAGACTTTCTATTAGTTTTTACATCACCAGATGTGGTATAGTATCGCAGTGAGAGCAGCTAGCAACACCTTCCTCTTTATCTGATCTTTGATGCCTCTAATCCAAACTTTCCAGGCATCTTCAATATTACACATTTTGAACCTAATACTAATCCATGCACAGATATTAACCATGCAAACCTTACTGTATTTACACTTGAAAAACAGGTGCTACAAGGTTTCTGGCTCAGAAACACATAACAGACAAGCCTCTTCATTACAAACTCCCAGCTTGCACAACCTATCTCTCAGTCTCAATCTGTCATGAATAGACAACCTAGCTATGAAAGAGTGCTTTGGAACATTAAACTTATTCCAAATCCATTTAGTCCAGGTAATAGTAGAAAGGTCATTCTGTAGCCATTCATAACCGTGCTTAATTGAATAACCAGTTTCAGCCCAGTTGTTAGATTCAAATCCTGCTCTCATTTCATCCTTTACTTTGCATATTCTCTTTTAAGCCCAACCTGAACCCTTACTAGGCACATAATCCCACCAATTCCTATCCTTAATATATACAGCATGGATCCATTTAACCCATAAAGATTCCTTCTTACAGGCAACTTTCCAAACTTGTTTACCTAAAGCTGCCTTATTCCACAGTGAACAATTCCTGATGCCAAGTCCACCTGAATCCTTAGGCTTACAAACCCACTCCCGGGATATAGGAGGGCATTTGGAGAGAGAGGAACTGCCATCCCATAAGAAAGCCCTGCAAATCTTATTCACTCTATCAATAACACTCTTGGGTAGCAGGACACACTGATCCCAAAAGGAGTAAAAACTTATCAAGACTGAGTTTAAAAGGATCACTCTACCAGCATAGTACAAGTTTCTGCTAGACCAGCAATGCACCCTACCCAGTATTTTTTCAATAATGACATCAAAATCACTCACTCTAAGGTAATTAGAATTGAGAGGGATCCCCAAATACCTGAAATGGAACTGGCACTCAACAAACCCAGATCTTTGCAGAACCTCAACTTTCACAGTGTGCTGAACATTACCAAACATTATGGTTGTTTTCTCCTCATTAGCTTGAAGCCCCGAGACCAAATGGAAAGTTTTAAGAGCTCTAGTAAGAAGGGAAATAGATCTTTTATCACCATGGGTAAAAAGCATCAAGTCATCAGCAAACACCAAATGATTCAACTTCAAAATCCTGCATCTGTGATGAAAATTGAATTTCGATTTCTGCCCTATCTTTTTCAGAAGCCTGGTAAGGTATTCCATACATATCACAAACAGTAGAGGAGAGAGGGGATCCCCTTGTCTAATACCCCTAGCTCCCTTGAAGAACCCATGACTACCTCTATTAAGCATTATTGAGTAAGTGGGAGTAGTAACACAAGCCATGATCCATTTTATAACCATGACAGGGAACCCCAGAGCAGACAACATATTCTCAGTAAAAGGCCACTGAACTGTATCATAGGATTTCCTTATGTCCACCTTAATAGTACACCTAGGAGGCTTCCTCTTATTCTTATAATCTTTTACAAGGTCTTGACAAAGCATGATGTTATCAAGCATGATTCTTCCAGAAACAAAGGCTCCCTGCTCCTCACCAATAATAGAAGGGAGAACCTCCTTTAGCCTAGCACAGATCATCTTAGAAAGAATTTTAAACAACACATTACAACATGCTATAGATCTAAACCGAGTCACAGCAGTAGCTTGAGTAACCTTAGGAATCAGAGTTAAGGATGTGGTATTAACCTGTTTCAGAAGCTTCCCATGTTCAAAGAAAGAAAGCACAGCCAGACACACATCCTCCTTCACTATTTCCCAAGAAATCTTAAAAAACTTACTCGTGAAACCATCAGGACCAGTATCTCTCCTATCAGACCCCAACAGGTCTTTATAATAAGAGACAAAAGTCTCAGCAATCGACTCAGGATCATTCACCATAGCACCATTCTGATCCAATACACTACAGATTCTGTTTTCAATCCTTCTTTTCCTGATAAAAGCATGAAAGTAGCCTAAATTAGCATCACCTTCCTTTAACCAATGAGTTTTATCTTTCTATTTTAGAAACAGAAACCTAGCTCTATGGGCTTTAAGCCAATCTTGCTTCATGCTCCTGGTTACTTAAGCTTGCATTAGTAGGATCAGCATTAAGTTTCCTTTGAATGTCAGCTAAATGTTTCCCTGCCGCAATATCAGCACCCTCAATAGAGGAAAACTGACTTAGATTCAGGGCCTTGAGTTCCTTTTTGACAGCTTTGAGTTTCATAACAACTCTGAACATAGTAGAACCTTGAACTGGTCTTTCCCAGGCATCCTTAACAATAGCTAGGAAATTTGGGGCCTCTGTCCACATATTAAAAAATCAAAAAGGCTTTCTAACATTTCCAACTGTGCTATTCAGATTCATACAACAGGGGGTGTGATCCATAAGACCCTCGGGAAGAAACTCAGCAGAGAAATTAGGAAAATTTGTCAACCAGCCACTATTCACAATCACTCTATCAATTTTAGTGCAAACTCTATCATCCCCTTGTTTATTTGTCCAGTTATAGAACATACCTCCAACTTTGAAATTAGAAAGGCTATTAACTCTTAGACAATTCCTGAATTGTTCCACCTCAGTAAGAGAACACTGAGAACCAATTCTATCCTCAAGATTAAGGATATTATTAAAATCTCCACACAAGATCCAAGGGGAATCAGCAGGAGGGGCAATCTGTGCAATCTGAGCCCATAGACTCTCCCTTTCTACTGTAGTATTAAGCCCATAGACCAAGGTCAGCCAAAACTTCTTCCTCAAAGCAACATGAGTAACGCAAGCATGGATAAATTGAACATCTACTTTGCAACTGTCCACAAAAAAAAAAACACTAGGCAACCAAGTGATCTAAATTCTACCAGACCTGCTAACTGAATGGTTAGTAATCACAGACCAATCATTCCCAAAATTATCAAACACTTTACCAGCTAATTTCATCAGAGATGATTTTCCCCAAAATTTCAAGTCAAGCCTAAAAACATCACCCATATAGTAATTTCATGAATGTCTTCCTTCTTAAGATTCAAACCCGATTCCCATTTCATAGAAGTTAATGGTTTCCTAACAAAGAAAAATGGCCCTGCCATTAACGCCTTATCCCTTCCTTCAATTGTCCTGAACCGAATCAAGAAAATTTCATTCTCCAATGCTGAGATTTTGTCAATCCCATA